AGGTCACTTTGTCAGCATGATCAAGTTAGAAGGCATTAATATTTTTTCCGGTTTGTCGCTCCAAAATAAAACTCCTCTTGCCTCTTTATAGAAACCTGGCCCTAGGAGGAGGTCTGCTCCTGCTGCTGGCAGAGTCGCGTTCGGAGGGAAAGAGCATGTTTGCTGGCGTCCCTTCGATGGGAGAGAGTTCGCCCAAGCAGTACATGCAGCTTGGTGGCCGAGTGCTGCTAGTGCTCATGTTTATGACTCTGCTTCACTTTGATTCCAGCTTCTTCTCTGTAAGTTTGACATCACTCCACATATTTACACCAACAAGCCTATTTCTGTGATGGCTTCAGTTCAACTATGAAGCAGAGAAACTGCAAGATAATTGGTTTTTTTCTTTCTAATCAAACACAGATAAACGCTGTTACAACTTATTTTACTTGACTTAATTGAAATGTTTTGTATTTGAAGATGTTTAAGGGCTTAAATTTTGCGTAAATCTGTGACTCATCCAAAGAGGGCTTTAAGAAAAAGTTTTGTTTATAGTTTAAAAATAAGTTGACATTTATACAGATTAATTAACCTGAAATATCAAGTCAAGCTCAGGTGTTACAACTTGGGCAGCATTCTACGTCTGCAAATCTGTCATCTGTAAAACCTAAACTTCCTCTTTGGTCGAAGTCCGGCTGCACTGGCTCTGACAATAATAATGTTAAACATGAAACAGGACTGGATGAGGTAGGTTTAGTAATAATGTTTTAATGTAGCTTTAGTCGTTTGCTTTAACATTAGAGAATGATTAAATTAAGTTAAAGAGGTAAATAAAAGTGCAAACTAGATATTTTAGGTCTATAGCCATGTTCACACAGCAGTGCAAATGTGACCTAAATCTGATCTTTTGGTTCATGTGTTTCGCACGTGTGAATTTTTTATGGCAGTCTGAAAGTTCCAGTTCACATCTTTGAACTAAAAAAAATCAGACTTCAGTTATTAACATCGATCCATTTTTAGAACATGACCTAATTTTAAAAACAGCAGCATTAAAGGCTACGGTTAAAACTTATGAGAACTTATTTAAAAAAAAAAAATTCTTACCCTCTTTCTTGTTATTGGGTCATAATGTTGGCTCCTATTGCTCAGCAGTTTAATAATACAAACACACCGGAATGTACTATTACTGTTTCTTTTTGTTTTGATTTGTTTGTTTTTGTTAAACATTAACAGCGATATCCAATAACGCTTCTGTAAACAGTGTGATGCTGTGGGATGGTGATGTTTACATGTTCCTTCTGTCACTTTGAGATCATGAACTGTTCGTACAAAAGTCAGAAGGCGGTCGGATTTAGATAGTAGCGTAATCAACACGCAAGATAACTCGGATTCCTGGCAAAAAATATGACTTAAGCATCAAAACTGGTTTATGAACGTAGCCTAAGGTTTATAGGATGTGGAATAGAGCTGATTTAAATGTCCTTTGATCAAATAACCCATAAAATTGTCCTGAAGCACAGTGCTAAATTAGACACCAGCTTTAATACATGCTTGATTTGTGTAATCTTAGAGCTTATAAAACCCAACTTGGTTGGAGGATTTGTTGTCAGATTTACAGAATGCTGTTAAAAAAAATAAAGATATAATAAAGCTAAAACTGTGACCGTTCAGCCGGTCACCTTCTGAGCCAATTGACCATTCCTCATGTTCAATGCCTTTTTTTTTTATTCTGCAGATCCTACAGAACATGGTGGGGACTGCTTTAATCATCCTGGTCGCCATTGGCTTCAAAACCAAACTGGCAGCACTGACCCTTGTTGTGTGGCTCTTTGCCATCAACGTCTACTTCAATGCTTTCTGGACCATCCCTGCCTACAAGCCCATGCACGACTTCCTCAAGTATGACTTCTTCCAGACCACCTCTGTCATCGGTGGGCTGCTGCTCGTGGTAGCACTGGGCCCTGGTGGAGTATCCATGGACGAAAAGAAGAAGGAGTGGTAGGCAGAGCTAGAGAACCATGCAGCACATCTGACGCCCCTCACCACCATGGGACACAGAGACCCTCCCTCTGGCTGTTCTGCCCACAGGATACACAGCTTGTTGTGGGGGAAACACCCCAACAATCAGTGGACACGTTTTTCTCTTTTTTCTTTTGTTTTTGTTTTATTTTGGTCCCAACTGCTAATATTTTTTAGTTATTAAATTTTTTTTTTTTCTTTTTCAAAACCTCAGCCTTCAATGTCTTTAAAATAAAAATGCCCCTTTATTTTAAAGTGCAGAAAGTTAAATAAAAAAAAATGGTTAAATGTCTGTTCTATGTTTACAGGAATAAAAACAATTCATTGTGTTTTGCAGGTGTTATGTCATAAATGATCTTAAAGAAACTTTGATATTTTCTGAATCCAGCGGGCAGATTTGATGAGGTCCTGAAATTCAGCTGCCCCATCAATGCCAATTTCTGTTTGTTTTGATATTTAACTATTGCAGTTTGGAGTGTGAGAGATGTACCACTAAGGCCCGGATCTCTGTCTCATCTCCATCCTATATTTTCCAGCACTAGAGTCTTTTTCATTTGTACACATTCAGTCGTGTCTGACTGCCAGCTGTTGTCTGTGTGGAGACGGTCAAGTGTTTGTTATATGCTAAGTGGCGGCGTTCTAGACATCATTTGATGAAAAACCTCAGCAGTTATCAACTCCAGGACTTTGGGGGCCCTTTGTACCATACATTTTTGACAACAGCCTAACTAGTGAACCTTGTGTGATTTCTAAGGTCAATGAAAAGTGGGGACGGGGGCTAGACGCTTCTGAAATATATTTGAAGATGTAGAGAAGCAAAGAAGACTGAGCACAGTCACAAGCCACGCAGACTCTGCCTTTGCTCAGTGTTTCTGAGCCTGTGTGAGAAAATTTTAAAAAAGTATTCAGTGTATTGATTTTTCAGAAGTTTATATTGTATTTTTCACCATGTTTTTTTTTTCTTTGACTTTGAAAGTTCATGGCGAAAAAATAAATATTCAGAAATACGGAGTCCCAATCGAAGTTATTAAAGTCTTTTTGTTCAGAAGCCAAAGAGTTCAATAATTTGCGCTTTTTCTTTTTACCTGGATTTTCTCTTAAGGGGGTCGCCACAGCAAATCATCTGTCTTATTCTAACCCAGTCACAAGGAATTATTGGTCAGAAGCTCTGCTTTTTGAAAATGAAAGATGAGATGCAAATACTGACCTCTGCTGGACTAAGTTGGTTGATTGTGAACTTCATAACAGGCTATATTGTTGATACATTTCACATTTGTAGAATCATCGTATGAATTACAATTCTGCAAAGCTTTTGTTGAAAATAATCAACTAGTAAAGTTCTTTTGCCACACAAGTTTGAGTAAAAAGATCCATATGATCTTTATTCATTGCACAATGTATGTGATGAGTCCTGCTTCTATCTCACTTTTGTAATTAGCTTAATTTTTCTCTGCAGAACAAAGCTGATTGCAAATACATTTTATCACCAATATTTAATTATGTTACCTAATGATCACCAGACTATTGATAGCTTAAAAAAAGAATTACTCATAAGAGAATGTTTTTATACTGTTGGAAATCAGAAATCTAATTTTCTTTTTTATCAATACACATAATGATTCAACCCTTCGAAGCCTAACCATATTTGAACCAGATTAAGATACCTCCTATTGAAGAATGTAAAGGTACCTCTAGGGTTTAAAGCAATATATTTAGTGGTTAAAGTGAAATAGATAACCATAAAGTCAAATGGCTACTTTTTAACATATGTAGACCTAATCTGGTGAAATGAACCAGCGTTCACTGCGATATTCACACTTTTAATACAACACAAGGGTGAAGCAAGATCTGATCATGTAAAGATTTAGAAGTTAAAGTAGCTGTAGGCTTTTACCTTGTACTTTGATAAAGCAGAATAACAAAACTACTTCATTGGCTGGCTAAAGGCACTCCCATGCAATAAAGAAATTGCCAACCAATTTTATATTGTGTATTTAGAAGATTTTTTGATAACAGGAAAACAAAAAGGAAATAGCGAAAGAATAATAGACAAGATATAAACAACTTGTAGGCATTGTGAACACTGCAACTGTAATTTTTGGCAATTATTGAGAATACAATTGCAATCTGCTTCCCAGCTTCCTGTTTTTGCTGTTCTAAAGCACCTGTTATATTTCCTATTTTGCCATCCATGTATGCTGGCTAATTTATATATATATAAATAATAATAACAAACATGTTTTTAACTACAGTCATGTTTTTTGGACTGTGGCAGGATGTCCAAGTACCTGGAGTGAACCCCTACATGCATATGTAATACATGCAATCATTATAAAGACACTGTTTTAATTTGGTGCTGGAGAGCAGTGCTAAAAACTACTACTGTGTAGCCATAGTGCTGAATTGTTTAGAAATGGCCTGCATCAAGGGGTATTTGTTGCATATCACCAAACCAAATGTATTATTCAATAATACAGTGCTATTTGCCTTGTAAAGAAGAGCTTTAAATGTTTTATGAGTGCCCATGGCAGCCAGGTAGCAATTATATCATTTAATTTGAAGAATAACTTTTACTTTCAGCTTAAAGCAACTAGTATGCTGAGGTAAGTGGATCCTCTCCGGTGAAGAAAGCTTGCAGCATACATTTCATGTATGAACTTAATCTTGCTGCACATGATACAGATCTATTAAAATGTATCAGTTGTAGAAAAGTGTTAAATGGATGTTAAATCAATGTCATGTCATAGCAGCCAATAAATAAAGTGCTTTTAAACGACCTCAGCTAGTGCAGTAAAGTAAAATTACAAAATTGTAAGATAGAATAACAAAAACAGACATTAAAATATCACGTAAAAATCAAGAATATATTATATTTTTTTCATAGATATTTATTTGAGGAAACGGTTTAAAAATGAGTATTCCTGCAAATAATTCTTTTTTCCTTTTTTTAAAATTCCTGTAAAGAATGATTTGCACACGAACGCATCTCGCTCTGACGTCACGGGTACAATTTGGGCTACGGATCGGGTAGTAGACCAAACTACATCCGCTGAAAAGAACGCGCTGCTGCTCTTGACATCGGTCTCTTCGCTCTTAATTAAACCACTTATTTATTATTTACTCCTTTCTGCTGTAAGTACACTTTTATCAACTGCTTTTATGTATTTTAATGAAAAATGCTGCCTCATTGATTGTGTTCTAGTCCATTATGGAAAGCATTTATAAACAACATGCGTCAGAAATGTGCCGCAAAATATATGGCCTTAAAAAAAATAGAATAACGCATATTGTTGGATAGAAGTTGAACATTTTATCGGAAGTTCTTTTTTAAATCTAGTCTTCCCTGTTAAAAAAAAACAAAAAACAAAAAAAAAAAAACAAACACGTATGCGTGTTTTTTTTTTTTTTTTTTATAATTTGATTTTTTTATTATCATCTAATCCCAGGAGATTGGTCACGAGAACAGCCAAAGGCGAAGCGCTGTCTTGTTTCTCGTTGGGAGCATTTATTACAGGAAATGTAATGTTGTTTTTTCCAGACAATGAAATGAAACCACCTGTTGAGATTTCATCAGCATATCTCTAAAGCAGCTCAACAAAATGTTGTTGTTTTTACAGTAATAGGCTGTGGAAGGTAGGCATGGGTGCCAATGGCCTCTAAATCGAAAGTGGAATTATACAACTTGATTAAGTGTCATTTACAAACTAATTACTTCTTGGTGTCTAAAAATATAAAAACAATTCTAAATTTTCTTTAACATTATTACTTTTACACTATTTTTCTTTTCATGTCACTGAAAAAGTGTGTTATCTTACGTTGTATATTAACAAAAGTAACTTATTTCTTTTACTAATGTTTTCCAGCTCTGATCCTGTCATCCCTCATCATGTCTAAAGGCACAGTGGTTCTAGCCTACAGCGGGGGACTGGACACCTCCTGCATCCTGGTGTGGCTCAAGGAGCAGGGCTATGACGTCATTGCATACTTGGTGAGATTTAACAGCAGGTGTGGGCACAACAACTGATCCCTTCTGTCATCCAGCTGCTTTCACATGTCAAGTATCCCTGAAGTTTAACGGTCTGCTGCTTATGCACTTTGTCACTGCGTATAGAAGTGGACTGTTGGCACATCTCTAAAAAAAAAAAAAAAAAAAAACAACAGGGCTGAATATCTATAGTGACAGGATTTGGTTCTATTATGCTAAATCTGGTTGGCTTTACTGTTTGCCCCCAGGGTGACTAAAAACTGCAGTGCAGGCAGATTTTCTCGCTGAACTTCACTCATTTGTTTTATGGTTTCCTAAATGGGTGCGGGAGGTGGTCAGCATGCCACGAGGTTCAGAAGGGGCAAATCTTTTGGGCTCTTAATAAAGTTGACATGTATTTAACTAACTTTTTTTTAAGCTGCTGAATGGCGAAAAAAACAAAAAAAGATTTATTCATTTATTACATTTATTTATCACTTTAAGACAATAATCTAAAAGGTGACCAAAGCACTGAACAGGAACATTGTAGAAAATAACCATACAAAAAAAGATAAAATAAAATTTTTCATTTTGCTGTTTTTAAAATCCTGTTTTTTTTTTTATCTATTTTTTTATGGTTTAAGCTTGAATAATAATAAAAAGTCCATAGAGGGATGGTTCCAGAGTCAGGATGACTAATGCTTAAGTTACATAATAGAAGACTCATATTATCTGCTGATGGGAATAAATGAATTTAATTATGTGCACATAATTTTCACAAAAGTTTTTATTTAACGTAACCCCTTTTTTTTTAAGCCATTTTTTGTAATGTATTTTTTTTATCTTATTCTTCAAAGTAAATAGAAATGACTTAGAGTGGCAGGTTTAATTTAGGAAAAATTGCTCACTGCCAAGGGCATCATATAATTGGGGGCGACACAATCGCTAAGAGGAAAAAAAATTAAGATCGACATTAAGATATTCTATAGGTTTTTTTTTTCTTTTTGCTCTATGTGCTGCTTCTGTCTTATGTCAATCTGCTGGAATTTAAGTTTCACTGAATGAGTCTTTAAAATAGATAAATAAAGTGTTTATTCTTCATCAAGTCTAAATCTCTAGTAGGTCCCTTCCAGTTCTGGCATCAACAGAACGGTGTTTATGTAACATTTTCTTGCAGTTATCCCCTTTCTGTTAAATTCATCCATGCATATGTTTGTTAAAATAAACATGATGTCTAAATTTACCCTGCTGTTCTCCCTGCTTAATTGGCCATCTTTACAAAATGGCTGAAATGAGAGTTGCCCCCTCTGTAAAACATATAACGCAGATCTCTTTGGATAAAGGGATCCGTATGTAAAGACATGTTGCATATTTGGGATTGTATTTCAAATGTATTTTACTTCAATAATATATTGCTTTAAATTTGATTGCCTTATTACAGGCCAATATCGGACAAGATGAGGATTTTGAAGCTGCCCGGAAAAAATCAGAAAGCCTTGGAGCAAAGAAGGTAAGAGACACTTTTCAGTAATTATGAGAAACCTATTAAGGTTTTCAATAATTTCACAGTTTTATTTCTCATTCATAATCAGTCTTATTTTGTTTTTATGTAACTTTTTTTTTCTTTTTTTACCACAGTAGCTCTACAACCTGCATATAAATCTGTTTATATATATATATATATATATATATATATAAACAAAAGTATCAGAGCTATGTTTTGTATCTTTGACCAGGTTTTCATTGAGGATCTGCGTAAAGAGTTTGTGGAGGATTTTATCTGGCCGTCTGTTCAGGCCAACGCCGTCTATGAGGACCGATACCTTCTGGGTACGGCCATAGCGAGGCCGTGCATTGCCCGTCGTCAGGTTGAGATTGCACGCAAAGAGGGGGCTCAGTTTGTGTCCCATGGGGCCACTGGAAAGGTAAAATTTCTCTTCTCAAAACAAACTAGAGAAATAGGTCACTGCTCTGTTTGGGACGCATATTTTCAAGGTTAAATATTAACCATTTATTAACATTTAGAAAGTTACAGTTATCTCTGATTAAGTCGCCCATTCAGTTGAAAGCAGATCTTTCTTCTAAGTTAACTTCTTTTTTCTGCATCTTAATGAAATCAATATTTTTGAGAACATCTGGATAAATCATATGATCGCAATGATCCCTGATTTCTTTTTTCATGAAGTTAAAACATTTTTTAAACTCTTTGCAAAATTATTCAGTCTGGGTATGCAGGCTGCCATTAAACAGTTCGGTCGCCATTCCAGTCTTTCCCTCATTAGAAATAAGGAGGCATTTTTGAAACTGCCAATACTCTGCTGGTGCAGACATGTTTTTGTTTGCTGACATTAGTTGTAAATGGCAGTTGGAAGTCATAGTGAGTCACAGATATGCATACAAGGAAAATTCAGCAAAAAAATTGCTCATACTCATTTCTGCCGAGGAAAGCTAGAGTTGACATAGGTCTCTAGACATATTTGTAAAGATGATGCTGCTGACGTTTTGGAAATGACAATTGTTGATCATTTGAAAAAGAAAATGTATTTATAGTTTATTTGGGAGCCGTCAAACAATATACTACAGGGTTATTTCTTCTAATATTTTAGTATAATTGCTCATTTCAGATGTTTTGAAAAGAATTCCTTTCAGGTCATCTATTGTGTGAGTCCTTTTTAGGCCAGTAGATGGCGCCAAAATTCTGCTTCATAATATGCAGTTTTGAACTTAGAACCCTGCAGCATTCCACAACTGGTATTGACTTGTGAGTACTTGTTTTGTCTAATCTTAAATGATCAAGGTCTTTGTTTTTTGTTTTTTTTTGTTCATTTTTTTTTATATCCAAACAAGATAAGCCAGTTCATAAAACATTCAGGTAAAGATTAACCGGGCTCTTCACAGCAAACAGAAAACATCACCCATTTTTTCAATGAGTTCTAGAGCCAAATTGCAGATTAACAGAAAGTATTTTATTTTATTTTTTAACTGTCCTATAAATTTTAGAAAAAAATACAACCTTTAATTTAAGCACCATAATTAACCCCTCTATCATCTAATAATCTCCAGTGATTATTTGGCGAGAGGTGTGGTACACCGAAAATAAGTCACCCGTCCATCACAGTCAAACTTAAAGACACTGAATAAACAGCCATGTCTGAGGTTTAAACATGATGTCACTCAGAGACCCATTTGTCTTTGACAAACATGCCATTCAGGTAAAATAGATGTGCGTTAATCTTCCAAAGTTAGGAAATGACCACAACAAATCTTTATTTGCATGTCCCTATCTCCATTTGAACACGAGTCAAGAGATTTGGTGGTTTTTTTTTAATTCAAACTATGACGGAACATGATGGACAAAGGATCAGCTTCATATTGACTCAATTTAATGTGAGAACGGTGTTGAAATGGAACATATCTCTGATGTTAACACTTAAAAATGCTGCAAAGACATGCTTCTTTTCAGTCTCCATGCATACAATTTCAGCATACATCCCATACATGTCAACAAGGTATTTTGCAGCAATGCATCAAAAAATTTGTTTTTTTTGGCCTAGGATCACAAATGTAAATATGTAAAGCTTTTTAGCATGTGTTGTTAATGGAGGAATGTGGTCAGACCATTTCTTTATTCTTGTTATCATATTTAAGTAGGTTTTATTCAAAAGTTTTCAGTGTAAGGTAAGCCTTCTGTATTAAAAGATGAATTACTTTTTTTATTCTTAGCAGCTGTGCCAAGAGGTAAGGGTAAATGTAGATGGCATTGTACTTGTAGTTTTACATTTTGATATCACAGCATTTTACTGGATATCAAATTGTTATATTAGTGTGATTTTTGGGGAACGTCAAGTTATTTTCACTTGTCAAGTTGATGTTTATCAACATTTGTCTAGATCCAAACTATTGGGTTTTTAAAACTGAGCACAAATACAACTGAAATAAAACACATTCTTTGTTTCTGTTTCAATTTTATTTTATTGACCAAATGGGAACCAGATAATAAATAATATTTAATGAAAATAAAACTGTGGAAAATTATCCCAAAGTGCTGACTTGCAGATATAAACCAGCTTTTTACCTTTTAGGGAAATGACCAGATACGCTTTGAGCTCTCGTGCTACGCTCTATACCCAGAGGTCAAGGTTGGTTTGCTTCTTTTTCATTCTTACATGGAATGAATTGGCCTCTGAAATAATGTCCCTGAAGCTTTAGCTGTGTGTTTGTGTGTTTGCATTGATCAGATCATTACACCATGGAGGATCCCTGAGTTTTACAATCGCTTCAAGGGGAGAACAGATCTGATGGAATATGCACAGGTAGACTGATGATACGCTATGAAATTGATCACAATAATAACAATCAGTCTGTTAATTTAGGATATGTGATGTTTTTTTTGTTTGTTTTTTTTACGTTTTTTATTCTAAATACTAAAATTCACTGTTTCCATAAGGTTAAGGTTTATTTTCTACCTTATTACCAGCAGCTAATGTACCTTTAAAGTCATAATGGCCTTCTCCACTAGAGGGCAGTCAAGATGTTTTTATTAAATTTCTTTTTCATGCTGTTCCTGGGCCTTTGGGGGAATAATACTGCTTTGAAATTATGCATTTTTTTTTTTTAGTTTTCTTTTGTTTTACAAGCATACCAGAACATCTGTGTTTTTTTTTTTGTTTTTTTTTTTTTTTACTCAGCTATGGAGCACCAAATAGACCTTTTTACAGATGTTTAATCTTGTGACCTCAAGAGGCTTTCTGATCTGTAACATATCAGGATAATTTTTTCTACCTTATCTTATCTCAGAAACATGGCATCCCAGTGCCAGTCACTCCTCGTGCCCCCTGGAGCATGGATGCCAATCTCATGCATATCAGGTGAGGATGACTAATGTGATGCACCCTGTTTATGTGTGTGAGTTTTTTAGACTTAAAAAAAGTAATAAATTATTAATGAATTTCTTTACAGCTATGAATCAGGCATGTTGGAGAATCCAAAGGTGAGTTCTTGCTGGTTTTCATCAGATATACTTTTAATATCCCATATCTTATCAATGGGTTGCTATGGTTACAGTGATGTTGAAGCTATTGTGAAACTTGTTTAATACCAATATTTTCACCTTCTTTAATAAATAAGTGGATTTCACAATAAGCTTTGCTTGTTCATAGTACAGGCTTGGTTGTCCAAGCAGTAAAAAAAAAAAAAGAAAAATCAAATGTACATGCTATAGGTCTACTTCATCCATCCATCCATCCATCCATCCATCCATCCATCCATCCATCCATCCATCCATCCATCCATCCATCCATCCATCCATCCATCCATCCATCCATCCATCCATCCATCCATCCATCCATTCCAACATTTTCAGGCTGAAATCCCTGGCCTCAGACCTAAATGTCTCTCATCTCATCTTGGCCTTTTTTAACACTGTGTACCACCCAAAGTGTGCTGAAAGTCATGGTTTTAGTATTCAAGAGTCAAATCATCTCCCAAATCACATATAAGTTTCAAAACCGGTTTCTTCACCATGACTACACCTCAAAGTCCTGTCCATGAAGCCACAAACAGGATCAGGGACAAACGGCAGTCTTGATGAATTCCAACCTCCCTGAGAGTGGCTTGACTTTTGTTTAAGATTGATTAAACACATCCACAACACCCCATAGACCTGTAGTGCCCCCAGTGGCAATAAATTGGACAACCAAACTCCCATGATCAGGCAGTGAATTCACACTTTAATTCCACACTGCTTTCATCTGGTAATCTCCCTATATAGATTCATGAGTGTTGACGTTAACATAAACCCACATAGTAGTTCTGGTGGTCTTTTTGTCCAAACATGGGGAAATCCAGTCACTTAGAGCCAGTGTCCTGCAGCATCAGGACATGTCCATGGTCCAGTAGACTGGAATCAGCTTGCAACTATTTAGCATGCAGGCAGGTTCTACACAGTCCTCCCGATTGCTCTATTTTTTTACTTGTTTGTGTTAAAGCAGAGACACATCTAAAAGTTTAAGCACACCAGCCCTTGTGGATAGGAGTTTCACATCTGTGTTTGGTCGATCTTCTTAAGCTTTATTCATGTCGGCGGCACCATGTTCACCTTCTTCAATTGAACACTGCAGACAAACAGCGTTGGCAGCGTTACGCAATGGTGAAACTTCTCTGCCTTCTCAATACAAACCTGACTGACTTTGGTCACAGAACCAGGAGTGACACATGAGTTTGATCTGAGCTGGAGGTTGGAGGTCAGTGCAGTATGCACTGTTTTCCCCCCGACTGACCTCCAAAGCGCCCATCCTTTGGTCGATATGTCTGCGTCTGTGTCTCTTCTCACCCCGGGTCCTCTCTGGGCCCTGGGAAGAACTTGGGACACACAGACACTGACTTGTCGTCAGCAACGCTTCGACTAATTCCCGATTTCATGGGAGCCTGGGAGGGGGAAGGGTTAGGGCGTTGCACCCAGCTGGGGCCTCCTGAGATCCAGCCCCAGCTCCTCAGGACCTCATTGTCTGGCCGGTCGCGCTGCCGCAGGCTGCGACGTGGGAGGGGAGCCACTTCATCATGACACCGTGACACCAAAATGTCACCAGTAACAGTTAAGTACAAAGACAGTGTGCCAGACAGATGAGTCCCCAATGCGTAGGGTGTTGTAGAGAAGAGAGGGGTCTCCCGCTGCTGGACAAGAAATTCAGGGGCAGGGCCACTGTAACTCACAGACCTGGATCTCCCTCACTGTCTCTCGTTCCCTTTCCCACCCCTTCACTGCCTTCTTTAGCGCCTTGTCCTTTAGCTGTCCTGTGGAGAAATGTTTTGATGAGCCGGCTCTATAGCATAGTGATGCATGATGACAGTGTTGCGTAACTGATTTTATTCACACGCTTTGCTTTGGACCATTTACTCCAATACTGAATCGATTAATAGCATTAAATACAATGAAATATTTATGGTGCAGAGGTCTGAAGTGGTAAAAGGATTTGAATATATTACCCAAGCTTTAAAACATGTCTAATATTTTAGTATTTTTATGTAGCTAGAACCTTGGCTCTCTATTTATATTTTAAACCCACTAGTCTGTCTACTGAGTGAAACTGTATTGTAAATGACAAGTTCAGCTGAAGCAATATATCTTATATATATTAAGGCTCTTAGACCCTTTTTCTATTTACCTGACATTAAATAGGACAAAACTTCTATTGATAGGATTACCTGCATTAGTGTTTTTCATTCCTTTTTTTTAATACTGGTTTTTCGTATCATTAATTAATTTGATAAAATTTAAATGTTATAATGACTTTAAATGCTTTGGGGGCTTCCAGATGGGGTCTTCATGGTTTCGTAAGGATATTTCACAACATTTGAGCACACCTTCAGATGCATTTTAAAGTAATTCTTTAAGGTCCAGCGAGAATGCCACATAATAATATGAAACCCATATTTCAGAAAACAGATCACAGGGCAAAGAATATAATTTTCATCGACTTGACTGGAATTGATGTGTTTGCTCATAATGGCTATTTCTCAAATTTGAAGGACAATGAGAAAGGCCATAAGCCTTAATGCTACCTCCTAATTGTGAGGTATAGTTGTGGCAGCATCATGCTGTGTAGTTGTTCAAATTGGCTTTAACAATACAAATTTAATGCTGTTTTGTGGCCATTAAAGGCTCTTTTTTAAGTCTTATGGATATATTGTCTGATCACAGTATCAAATAATCTATAAACCTTACTCAGTTGCATTGAAATGCATTAAGAAATAAAAACATTGGAGAATGATAATTAGGGCTGGCGTTCCTGCTTCCCATAAAATTTGCCATGAATATCAACAAGGAGACAAGCAAATCTGCCGGAGAATGGCTGTAAAATAAATAACATGCCCAGAAAAAGTCCTGTCTACCACCTGATTGAAATTTTCCAGCAGTCTACAGTCTTAGAATGATTCTGACACACTTCTATAACCTGAAGACGTAATGTTTTAAACATTTGACCCAAAAAAACCTCCACCTTGATGTGAGAGCAGAATAAAGTTGACTTGAAAACTCTCTCAGCTGTTAGCCAGCAAAGTAGAATCTACGAACTGATAAATAATAAAGTGTCTATAGGTTTCACTCATATTTTCCTCTGTTAATCTACTTTTTTCCTGTAAAGATTTGTTTGATTTAAGGCTGTGTGTCCTTAACTAAAATATAAGGTACTTTATTTCATATTATTAAAAAATATTGGTTTATTATATAATTCTGAGAATTTAACAAATAAAACAGCAGATTGTTTGAATTCCTATACCAACATGTCAGATTCTGTCCATCAAAGAAGTCATCTTAAAGAGGCCACCTTGTTCCCAGTATCTCTACTGTGTATCGCCCTCTGTCACTCCTTCAATTACAGCCCCAAAGGCTAAGGCCAGACCCTTACTATTCAAATGCCCCCCTCTCCCCCCACCTGCAGCACAATGGTCCCTCTTTGCTCAGTTTTGTCACTTTAGGAAATGTCCAAATGGTCGCTCATATGTTTTCCTGCAGATAAGAACCAGAGGAGTTCGGGTTACTCTGTGATTAACACTGTATCCTTCCTGATAACCCCAAAGCTTGTCCTTTTCTGCCACGGTGACCTTAAGACCTTTATTTACTCATTTGCATCTGGCAGCATTAACCTCTGTGAAGCCATGCAGGCTGTTATTGTGTCATTAAATACTCTTGCTGTGCACCTGATAACTGGGATAAATCAGGATTTCTTGTCAATTCAAGTTATCATCCCAGATAGTTGTAGTCTTGAAAAACATTAACATTTAATGCAAAAGTTCTCATTAAAATTTCAACATTTTGTCATGTTACAATGACCAGCTTTTTAATTTCATCAAGATATTATATCATAGACAATAAATATCTCCCCTCTTTATTTTGTTACCATCCAATAAAATCCTGTAAAGCAAATTGCCTTCAAATGTCCCCTAACTACACTGAAACAAGGGACTTCTTGGTGCAGTAAACTCTATTAAAATATTCTTCATAATTTCTACTCTGTATTTTTAAGCTTCAGTAAAAACTAGAGTCTCTGAAGCAAAATTAAACCTTTTTTTAATGTAATACATGAATTTTGGGGGAAAGTAAGTTTTACTTAGATTTCCTTATACTAATTAAATGTTTAATAGCAATAGGTGCATAAAACAAAAAAAAAGTACATAAACTTTACTCTAAAAATTTTGCGTTTTGAAACGGACGCACAGAGTATGCACACTGTCATTCACAGCAGTACTGATTCTGCTCCGAGTCCAGATGTGTATGGAGCAGGATCAAACACAGAGCAAGAGGTAGTCCAGATTACAGTCATTTTGACAGGGTGCAACAGTATTGCAAAAGCCTGCTCGCAGCTCATGGGACAGCTATATGCCCTGAACTTGGCATATCCTCCCACTTTGCGCTACACTTTTGAAGCCTTCCAAAAACTTTTCCTTGAGTTGGATGGATTTAAACTGTCCCCAAAAGTAAACACCCTGAAGCTTTTCTATATGCATTCATGACTTTATCATCCAAAGGTTGTAAAATGTGGCATCAAATGCCAAGAATTAGCAATGGGTTCCAGTTAATCTTAGTGTAAGATTGCCTGTCATTAATGTTTTTTATTTTTAAGTGTCTGTTTATGTACTGACCTTCGTCCACAAGTTGTTTTAAGCATGTTTGTGTAAGTTAAATATACTTGATCTTACATATGAGTAAATTTCTTTTACTAATGATGAAACTCTGTTTCAGAGGGTTTTACATTTTTTTATTGCATATTTGAAAAGTATAATTCCAGTTAGAGGGCTGCTCAGTGAGCAGCACTGCCGCCTTGCATTAAAAAAGTTCTGGGTTCAATTTCATCCCACAGTCCAAAAACATGAATGTTAGGTTAATTGGCTTCTCTTAATTCTCCTTAGGTGCGAGTGTGTGCGTGAATGCTTGTCTGTCTCTGTGTTGCCTTAAAATTTTTAGTAAAATGCTGTTTTTGCCAATGAAAAACA